TAGAAAAAGGAACGGCAAGAGCGAATGGTCCAGTCAACCAATGCCTGTTACCATGCAAACAAGCGTACATGTGGAACAGGCAGACTAAGGATGGCGAGGATGTTACACTATCGGTCTGAAGCCACTATTTCAGTTTTTAAAACAATTATCCATGTAGTTTCGTGTGCGGGTTTTGTTTGCTGTCTCATGACCACCCATTTGGATGAAGGGGCGAAGGAAAGATACGGTAAAAATAAGGTACGAATCAGTTTCAGTGAAAATATAGAAAAAATCATGAAGCCATTATATATATATATATATATCGGTTTAAAGATGAATACCGAAGTAGAACAAAGGGGAGAACAAAAATGATCATTTCGGTTAGAAAATAACTTTTGTTGCGTATTTACTGCGCACAAGTTGCGTTTGTTTTACTTGTGGGTTTGCGTACAAAACAGTGCATTCACACCACTGACCTCAGTTTGCCATATCCCGCAATGTCCAGCCAAAGACGATCTGTATCTTTGGAGCCCCGGCCGGGGAAGCGGGAAACCCCGACGGAAGTCGAATCCGAACACAATCTCTTCAACCCTCCACGTTACGTCATAGCCTGTCCACGTCTGTTTGCTCGAGTTTGGACCAATGTCTGCGAATAGCAAACATGCCGCAGATTATCAAACGCCAATCTAACTTTGATTACACTTTGAGAGATCTCACCCACAACTCTGTTATGCAACTCACGAGACACAAAACTTTCAACTACCGGAGTACATTTACTCAACGAAACTGTAGCAACAGGTTCCTACCAATCTTAAAACGATACCTTGTACTTTGAGGGTGCAAAGGACATACCGTAACAAGCAATCTTGACTGCCAAACGATTCAGCGTGTTTTGAATCATCAGTTCATCATCACCGAGTAAGGCAATATCATATCATCTAAGTCTACTACTCTGTTCGGCGCCGGCGTTTGTTATGTAAACAGTATCAGGGAAGGTTGAAACAGATGCGAAAATACATTCTGTAATACACATAAGTGAATCCAGTAAAAGGGGTTAACCCCATAATCCAAGGATATACTGTAGGTGGGAACGTGAGGGCAACCTTCAAACTAGAACC